TTAGACCCCCCCAAGATAGGTTAGGTAAAAATAGCAAAAACTGTATGACCCTTCATAAGCCGACCCTATAGTTTCAGGGGGTTGGCAAACTTTGGCTCCCAGCCCATCAGGGTAAGCCGCTGCGGGTCAGAACGTTTTGTTTACCTGGAGAGTTCACAGGCATACGAGCCCCCTCAGCTCCCAGTGCCTGCGGTTTGCCGTTCCCAGCCAATGGGAGCTGCGGGAAGTGGCTGAGAACGGTGAACTGCGGCCATAGAGAGCTGAGGGGCTCCATGCCTGCAGACGCTCCAGGTAAACAAAATGACAATGTATTAGATATTCAATTCAATGATTCAATTGAGTTTAAAATCATCAAATTTTGGTGTAGACCTGTTTATCCCCACTCTTCGATGCGTCACTTTTTTACCAAAATTATTCAGCTTATGAACGAGTATATACAGTACATAATGGGCATCAGCATGCAGCCAAAACCAAAATCACAGTTTTGGAGCTAGATTCCAGAGCAAAAAGATTAGTTACTGGTAGGTCTTTTATTTATACCTAGAAAAAGAAAAGTAATCTCATTACAGGATACAGGTATGGACATTGTTAAAACTGCTTCTGACAATAATTAATTAGAAAACACAAGGGTTCTGGAATTTGAAGGTTATCCGTTGTTTATTGTTTGAGAGTTTTGCCAAAAGCAAGCACTAGGCGCAGTACTTCTGGGAAACTGCATTGTGAAATTTTAATTTTCAGCGCCTAAGGGTTAAAAACAGGATAAGCCCTCAGTATAAAAAGAGTTCTCTTTTCAGAATAGGTGTAAGAAAAGGAATACATTGCCAAAGTCAAAATGTAGAAAAGTAGTACTAAGTCAATTGTAAGAACAGGGAAAAACTGGAAGCAGCTGAAGACAAACAGTTATTGTTTGATTTAGTCCTCCCCTCACCCACCGATCCCAGGTTAGATAGGGAAGTCTTCAGCAGACTAGAGGATATCTCCTGTCTATTACATGTTCCTTTGTTCTACACTTTATAAAACTTAAAAGACTGGCACAAATGTTTCTGAAATTGTGTAGGATGCTTACTAGTGAAGTGGGCCAAAATCTTTCAGAAAAAAATAGTTGCCACCTGCATTTCTATGCATTTACATCTGTATCTGAACTTGTCATTAACTCTTCACTAATTTTGATTACCACTTTAAGTAGAGTTTTGAGATCCCTCTTTGAAAAATTCAAATGTGAATCTGAATGTGAATTTCTGTCAACTAGCTAAATCTAGGATTATTTGTTTCCACACAAAAGATGCAGTGGTTCAACAAAATCAGTTTTTAAATCCATTTAGCTAAAGTAGTGCAAACCTTTATGTGGAAATGCAAATCTGTTTACACATGATTTACATAGATATAATCAAGTTAACGAGTGGTCAATAGCGGGCTGCACCAATTTAGCTAAATCAATTTAAAAACTGATTTTAGTTAAGACACTGCAACTTCTGTGTGTATCCAAGACCCTAATTCTATAGTCCTAGAACTTTACCTAGGCCACTTGGGGCAGGAGGTGGTGTCAAGAAAATGAGGGTGATGTGCCAAAGAGAAGGCAAGATTTGTGGTTCCTGGGAGACAGGCAGGTCAGGGTTTGCTGGAGAAGCAAATCCAGGCATCGCACTCCTTTATACAAGTCCGTCTCTCCCAGTCTGAGAATTGCCCTCTGCCTGCCATTGTGTACCACACCTTCCCTCATGCTGTAAAACAATGAGACACATACATCATAATATGTTTAAAAAAGATCCTGGCTGGATCCTTTGAGATCCCTTCCTCTATGTAGGAGGTAGGAGAAATAAAATGAAGGGAGTCACACACTGAACAGACATGGAGACATACCCCCTCACTGAACAATGTTGTGCTATAGGCCATGCACAAGCATCCCATTGTGTTACAGGAACCTCACATCAAACCCTTTTTAACCAACCAACTGCACTGGAACCTGCTAAAGTTGCAACAATGAAATTGAAAGCCCGCAAACTCGACGACCTAGATGCTGGGGGGAAGGTGAAAAAATCCACTCAGCAGTTTGCCAGTTTTGCCATATGGGAAAAATCCCTTTCAGACTCCAAACAAAGTATGGCCATCAACCTAGCCCCCCATCAAAAGAGATCAAGCTCGTTAGATATGGGTGGGTAACGGCAGGTCTCGAACACAGTCAAACTGATGAGTCATCAGCAGAAAGCAAAAGAACTCAAACTGGCTACTACCAGCAGTAAAGGGAAAGAGAAACTACCCCGTTCTACCTATCCCAGCAGGTAAGAGCCAATCAGCCCACCCCGCAACGCTCCACTGTCCAATGGCAGGGAGTGTAGGGGAAAGAATGTGAAGGCAGGAGGTGTCCCTGTTCCCTCCAGACTCATCAAAGCTGCACTCTGGTAGCAAGGATGAGATAGATCAAGGCTGAGTGTTCTCAGGTCCCACTAATTTTATGTAATATGTAATGAGTATACATGAAACAAAAGAAGGGAGTGAAAGTTGATTAAAATCAATTAACGTTTGAATAAGCTGTAACAATGACCTACGCGTCATATACTGAGCCAACATTAACAGTATTTTGTTGCAGACTGCATTTTGCTATTACATTCAGACTATCAATTTTTTATTTCTGTGATGGGTTTTCAAAGTTTGCCTCTCAAGGACAAACTGCTTTTGCCTCTCGGTTTGTCCTGTTTGGCGACCAGCTGTAAGAACAATTCATCTTTAACTATGGCCCCCCCTTTGTGTCATATCAGCAACTCAACAGTTAATAAGTTTTTTCTTTATTATCTTTTACCTGAAATAAACATATATAACTAAACAACCTCTTCACGTTGCATATCCACATATCAGTCAGAGCCCTCCAAAGAGGTATTTAATTTAAAAATTACAGAAAAAAAGAATAAAAGGGTGGTAAATATTATATATCCTTGGTGTGAACATTGAGGGAAATTCCTTTAAGATGGCATTATACTAACATCACAAAAAAGAAAATAAATATTATTTAAGGTGTGAGATAATCTTAAAAATTGATTACTATTGTAGAGTTCATAGTCTCTTCTGATCCATCATCATAGGGGGTGGTCTTAAAAATGAAGTCTCTCTTACTTTTTGTCTATTTATGTCCTGTCTGAGCCAAAACAGTATTTTTCTGGTCTCTGAGAGCATTTTCAACTGCTAGCTCCTCATCCCAGCCTCTTTTGAAATTTACTGCTCCATGATTGCTTTTTCCTGGACTTCAGAATTTCAGCATTTCAGAAATTAGCTTTAGGAAAAAAGTAGTGCCTAGGAGCTCCAATCACAGACCAGGACTCCACTGTGCTAGTTATATAACATAGAGCATATCCCGCCCCCAAAATGTTACAAAACGCAGTGTTAGAAAATACAGTAAGTCAAGATGTTAACTAATACTAGTTTCCAAGATGTATCTACACACTTTTATTCCATAACTGAAAAACATGGGAAAATTAAAGTTGATAAGTATATTTGTCCTTTTCTTATAGTTTGGTTTTTACTCTCTACTCTTTAGAATATCCCTCTTAGAAATTTGAAAACAGTATCCCCATTCCACTTCTCTCCAAAAGTTTTTTTTTTGCCCTATTTTTTTCTTTTTAAACTTGCTTCATTTCATTGTCCACACAGAGACTTAGTGCGCAGCAAGCCAGGGTGTGAATAAATCTATAGCACACTAGCCTGTTGCACACTAAGTCACTGTGTGGACCCTGCTACTGTGTACTAAAAGTTCCATAGTGTGCTGTGACATACTGCACTCTATGGATCTTTTAGAATCCAGTAGGAGGGTCCACAGAGTGACTTAGTGCGCAACAGACTAGTGAGCTGTAATTTCATTCACACCCTGGCTTGCTGTATACTAAGTCATGTGGACAAGCCCTAGTACTTTTTTTGTGTACCAGCACCACTGATGCTGTCAAAACAATTTTGAACTTTACTTTGTGCTCCCTAGCTTGTTGATTCATTAGCATCTAAGTATACTAATGTAGGACGGCTATACAAAAAATCCACAAATTTCTTTAAAATCAGAATGAATTGTATACATCTTATTCACTGATTTAAAAAGTTAAAAATGAAAAAAGTATTCTCTTGCTTCTAAAAATATATTTTAACTCACTACTCTTGATTTTTGAAATAAGTTTTTAGCTGCAAGTTAGTAACATATTCAACTTGCCTTTTCAGTGATGAACGTGTTTGCATCAGAGTAGCTTGATTCATGGCACGGATCCAGTCATTCATATCCTCTAGGGTATCTGCACTGAAGTAGTATGTGCGCATTCCTGAATGCTCTCCCTGACAGCCAATAACAGAACTCTTATTATAAATGTATGCCCTCATCCCTGTGTGGACAGCCTGGAAAAGCAAAAAGCAAAGACAAATTAGACAAAACTATCATTCCGAGCCTAAAAATTTATTATAACTTGAGTGGTTACCGTAAAAAAAAAGTTAAGAGTTCTCACAGTATCCTCCTGTATAAAAAATAGAAGATATCACACTAATATAACCACTGCAGTGTGACAAATGTTGAGTTTTAATGTCACTTTGCAATTTTATTTTAGATCAGTTGATGCTGTGTAGTTCCTTTCCCTCTTTTTCATATCATTAAAAAAATTTGCAGCATTTTGTTCTGTTTTTCATACTAATAATTGGAGCTTTTCATTTTATTCCTATCTTACTTGATGTATTTTATTTGCGGTGAACACAATACAAAACAAACTAATGGATCTTTTAGCAAGAATTGCTTAAGTGAGCCAATTTTCCTAGATCATATCATGAAGCAATCTGTTTAGAAGAAACACAATACAAATCTTACCATACATGTTTTTTAAACTGGCATTTTAGGAATAATTGTATTGCATGTTAAGACCTTTAGGTTAAACAATATACTTAAACAAAAAACACTAAATTAGCTACAAAAACACTACACTTGATAATAAAGTTAGCAACATTTATTGAATTATTAAAGCACATGGTATTGTATTTCAAATGTTATTGCATACAAAAAGCTTCCATGTGCCATCTCAAAATCAAAACTATTTGAGATATTTAGATACATCAAGCTGCTAACAGCTAAGTATTAAACTTTAACACTCTGACATTTCTATTGTTCTTATGTACATAATTTTATATCAAATGTGTGTTTTCATTATTCTAGTCTAGTTATGTTTAATCAGATCTTACCCACAGTTCCATAAAAAGACATGGTACCTAAATTACTAAGTCTCATCAGATGCTCCTTCCTGAAACAAGCTACAATATTTCCTGCGTGTTACATTATAAATGCACTTCAAAAGTAGACAATCAGAACTCATCTGCTACTGTTAACAGAATTAACAGCAACTGACAGCCATTCACAGAATCGTAAGTGAGGTCAGCAATTTTCAAGTTCTCTCTACTAGTTAGTACTTCAAAAATCCTCTATTTTAGCTTGAGAAACTTTGGTTTTATTTGGTTATATTTATTTAATGACAGAATCAATGAATCTCCCTCTTTTTTGTTGCATTACCAAGCACTGGAACTGACTATAAAACTCCATTTACCTTGTAGGTTCATGAAATCAATATTCTGAGCACATGAGTAATTTAACTGTTCACAGTTTTTGGACAAACTACAGCTAGTATCAACACACACAAATACTAACTACACAAAAGCATTTTTTAACCAAGTGAATTTTTCATTCACATATACATATGTATAAAACAAACATGCCTTTTATTTTATAAGCTACATTCCACATATAACTCTTACAGCTGGACTTCTGTTTTGATGGAGTCTTTTCCCACTTGTTATTCTACACTGAAAAATACCCTACCATCATACTTGGCTTTAGAAATACAAACAATTTTGACAGAACACAATATGTTTGATCTTGTGTGAAGCTACATGATCTGTTATATACTCTAAAATTGCTGAGTTAGTGTTAACATCAGACTCTCACTTCAATCATGTGCAAACTTATTCTAGAATAAGGGGGTTTTCCCACTATTTCAGCACTCCGTGTTTTGTAGACAACTTGCTCCCTCCCTTCCTTTTTTCCCAGAAGGGCTGCAAACATTTGAACATGGTCTTTCACTCACCTACATGACCGCTACAAGGGAGCCCTCTTATTTCCTTTAAGACAGCTCTATATATTTTGTTCTAGTGCAAGTCTTTTGGCTGCCACCTCCCATCTCACTAGGCAGGAAGGCTGATCAGACCAGCAGTGTATTAAACAGGACAGCTTAGAAAGAAGGGGGACAGCACATGCCTGGGATTTCAAGGCCTTCCATGTCTTATTGGCCAGCCAAGGGGAGGGGAGGATGGGAGAGAGGGTGGTGTAAAGAGGGAAGCTGACTGGCCTCTCACATCCCCCTAACTTCACCATTAATTTAAACCTCTACTGAGGTTTTTGGGGGCACCTCAGCTGCCTATCCTCCCTCCTTATAATTGTAGTATAGTAGCTGTGGTCTTGGATGCACAGAATCTGACCACTCACCTGTTTTGGGATTAAGAACAAATTTTTCCCATTGTGCCAGTCTGGCAGAGGCCTGTTGGGTTATTTCACCTTCCTCACAGTAAAATGGAAGTATAGTTTTGTTAAAAAGAAGTAGGACTTAGAAATTAATATTAGTAATTTGTAGGAATGTTTAGTTCATTGCAACTTGCTGCCACTGTCCAGTGTGGATAAAGGCCAAAAGGGCCAACTCCCAGAAGTAAGAGACCTGGAATTTCACTGGTGGACCTTGTGACTATGGGAGAAGGGGAGAGCTGAAGGCTTTGCAGATTGAGGACCCTCTTTGATAACCTCCTGCCCTCCTTGGAGTGGGGAGGATGGGAGGATTCAGAAGTGAGCTGAGTCCTAAGGATAGGCTGAAGAGGGTCTACTCCAAGTTATGAGGTTTTAGAGTGGGAGCCATGCAACCTTGGACTGAACACACTTAAATGCCTGGTGCATGAGAGTCACAGGAGATGAGACATGCTCCCGAGGGTTAAGTTAATAAAGCTGAAGCCTGCTGCTTAAATTGAACTCTGTCTTCATTCACCTGTATATCCTGATTAATGTGGTGTGTCTTTTCTCTCATAGAATTCTATTACGTTCTCTCTCAAGGTAGCCATGTTCACCATGCAACTGGAAGAGAGTGCAGGATACTATTTGCCTAACAAACTGTATAAGTAGCAAGCAATATGTATATGGCACTTTCTCCCTTCAAAGACTGAAGAAATTACATGTATAGCCTCAGAGAATGAGGAATAAAGGTGTCATGCTATTATCAACAAACCATGACTCTCAAAAGAGTTAAGAGAATGTAAAATTGGTCAGAATAACAGTCAAACGTATTCCAGATATCTATTAGTAGCACGTCAAACAAGCAAGAAAGAAAACCACAATCTTATGCTAGTGTCTGATGACTGTCACTGCTAACAGACACAGAAGAGTTTTGACAGTCTTATTTTTTATTTTAAACAATTGTTATTAAGGATATCTACAGCATACTAAATAAGCCTGAAATATAACACATATATATATACACAACGGGGGGAAAATAATATTGGTACCTATTCATGCATTCGGATGCCTTATTCTGGACAGACAGAGGAAAAGGCAGGCTCTCTCCCATAAGGCCCAGAACGAGAAATGGAGAGCAAACCCCAAGAGCATACCAATAAGGACAAGACAAGGACAAAAAAAGTTGAAGTTAAAATAGTAAAAGGATTCAGGTTTTCAAGGACTATATTTTAACACAAAACTACACTGATTAAAGTAAGTAATAACTAATGTTAAATGTCTAGAACCATTAAGTTCATAGATAGAAATACTAAACTAAGAGAAAGTCACAATTACACAGAGAAAGTTAGCAACTTTTTACACATTCCTCTGAAAGTCAGGCATCACAATGACTTATGAAAATACAGCAGAATAATTCCTCTTACTCTTAGGTTGAAAAGTGTCAAATTTATGGAACACTTCTGAGCCAAAATTAAAGGAATATCTCATCCCTCAGCTAGACAGTGAATCAGTTTCCTGTAAAAATTATCAACATTATGTGGAGAGGGAAGAGGAATTAGATATAACAACTCTTCAGGAAATCTAGAAGCTGGGACCACTTTTTCCCCCTCCTCTTCCTCCATTCTAAAGCCTGAAACAGTCCCTTTCAGGTATACAGAGCGCAGTATTTCTTCAGTTTACATCATGGTAATAAATCCATTAGATAGGTTTAAGGTACATAAGATACCAGAGAGCTTGAAGGGAAGGGAAGGCTCCCTGGTAGCACATGTGCCTTAAATCTGGCTAATGGATTTATATATAAAGAGTGAAGTATGTCAGCACCAACTTCAGGAAGCAGCGAGACACTATGAGCAACTGACGAAGGTGGCAGCCCAGATCCCAACAGGTCTCAGCAATGAAGAGCAGCTCCACATAGTAAATCCTGATTTCTGCTAATAAAGGACATTAAAATACCCAGAAACAGTGTTGCAATGGCCTCTATTTTACAAAAATTGGGATCTCTCTCGTTTCTTCAAGAGATGAATCCTCCCCGTCATAGAAGTTATACATGGTAGTATCAATGTAAAAGTAGAGGTTCTTGGTAGGGCTGATGTAATTTGTGATCTCTCACTGAAGTTTTATTACTACTCCATCTTATTCATCTTCACCATATTGGACTTAAAGCAACAAATCATGGACATGATTCTGCAGGATCAGAACTTATGCTTGTATACATGCTTACAAAGAATTGTTCCTTTGCCAAAGAAATGATGGAAGGCTCCCCCACTTTCTCAATCTAGTATAATGGAGGAATATTCCTAAACTATTTTTTTAGTATTATAGTTGGATAAACTTAAAAAACATTCCCTATGAAAATACTTTTCACACACACAAGAACAATCAAAAGTAATCTTTTCTCAGGGAGAACTCTCCAGCTTTTAGTAAGATTTTAATGACTTGACAATAGTCCGTGTTTTAAACTGTTTAATACTAAGACCAGCTCAACAAACTAAATACATCTGTCAGAAAATAAATGTTTAAAATGGAAGCTGACCAATAACTAAACTCATACTTATACTGTAATTGGAATTTTGCACTAATCTAAATAGAAGACAGACCACGTTTAAAATATGACAGGATACATTTTCCACTTGTTCAGGACTTCAGTGTGAAAAAAGTCCTATCTTTATTTTGGGATTAATCTTGTTGTGTTTTCTATTTCTAGCAGCATTTAGTTATGACATATAATGTTCACCCATGCTCTGTGTATTTAAGGGTACTGAACAGATTAGATAAATGTAATGGCTAGTGAGTGATGGAATTCTGGTAAGGAAGTGCTCTTGAAATTCTACAAGCTGACACGTGATGCTGTAGGTGTGGAATTTGAGACAGTCTCACGTTATCACTACTATAGGAAATCTATTCTTGCCCCTGCTACATACTTTGTTCTGAGTTAAGAAAGCCACAGGTCCTGGCTTTAAACCTGCATTCAAACATCAGAGAAAAGCTTAAGTAGAGTCAATTTTAGCCCAACAAATAATCTTTTACAAATAATACACGGCAGTCTATGTGTGCATGATTTATTTTATGAGTTCTCCAGTAATAGCATAACATCAGCTTTGCAATAAAATCCTACATGACATCAGGAGATATTTTCCCCCTTAGTTTGGTGAAGAGATCATTACTGAAAGTCTTAGTATAATAGCTTATTGTGATTTTAACCAAATGTCCTCACCACAACTGAATGTGGTGGGTCTTTCTCCATCCAGCAAGAAAAAGGGGATAGAGTTCCTTTTAAGGTTCCCACTGCAATTGGGTTACAAGGGAGGAGGAAAGGGGATGGACTTACTTTAGCAGAGCCAAGGGGTGGAGGGGATAGGAAGTGGATGGACAATGTGGCAGCACTGACCTACCATGTGCACCAGAGGAGGGGGAAGTATTTATACTCTGTACATTTGGGAAGGAACTCTCATCAATCACCAATCAGTTGCACGCAACTTCTCACTCATGAGATCAGAATAGGACTGAGCTTTATCATCATCTGCTGTAGACATTGTACTAGTTCCTTGGAAGGAATTTTTGCTTCACCACCAGATTGGCTGAGGCATGTTTTTTTTTTGCTTTCCTCACAGCAAGTCAGGGCAAAGTACATAAGGAGGACAGGTCAAGATGTGGCAAACTTAGTAGGTGGCAGGTGTCCAGTGCAGGTACTCATTACAGAGGGGATATGGTTCCCTGATAAATAGGAATTGGAAGGGGATTTAAGGGATGGCATTCCCTAAGAAAGCTGGAAAAAGGGGAGTTGGGGCTCCTAATGTCTAGTACAGTGGGAAAACAACCCGCCCCCTCTTTTCCAGCCCTCCTTAACCCTCATTTGAGGAGAGAGTGGTGGTGTCCCAGCAATGGACTGGGACCAAGTTGGATTCCAGATAAGTGTAAACAATTAAGGCAAGAACAATGACCTGAACTGTACGATTTATTGCTGGGTATTCCCAGATATGTTAAGTCACTCATTAAACCACATACTTTCCCTCTTCGCTTTCTTCCTGCATGGCTGAGTCTATGACTATATAATTGTCAGATTGTCAGAGACGAACTGAAGCCCAGTTAGGATACTCTAAATCATTTGAGAAGGAATTTTGACAGAAGTAACTTAATTGCTTCTGAAATTGTTATTTAACCATAACCATAAACATGGCAAACTGCAGAACTAGTGAGGAGTGATACACATTTGTTGATCCACCCTAGGTAAAAGCACAAGGTTGACAGATGTAAGTGTCAATATCAACACCAGAACTTGCATCCTGGAGATGATGTCTGGCTCTTGAAACCCATCTACATTCTTTTTTTCTTTTGTGATAGTTTTACATTAGTTTAAAATCTTATAACTTTATTATAAAAATGAGAATGTTTCCAAGCAGTAATTTTTCATTAAAAAGGTATGTTTTAGCCAGCACAACTATCCTAAAGAAGATATTCTCTTTGCAATTGTTTCTTATTTTTCCATGATAAGATGTAAAAGCTTGGACCTCCATTTTATCTCTTTTTCCAATATTTGCTTCTTCCTAGGGAAAAGAATCTAAGAAGAAAAGGCTTACTGAGTCATACCTGTTAAATGTTGGAGTGAAGATTCTTTTACAAAGGTTCCTTTGTAAATTTTTCCTGTTACATGGTGTCTGAAGCTACATCTACACTACAGTACTTGCAGCTGTGCCGCTGTAGTGCTTGTGGTGGAAACGCACTAAGTTGATGGGAGAGAGCTCTCCCATCGGTTTAATAACTCCTGCCTCCGCGAGAGGTGGTAGCTATGTATGTTGGTGGGGGAAGCTCTCCTGCCGACATAGTGCTGTCTACACCTGCTCTTAGATCGGTGTAACTTACGTCACTCAGGGGTTACACTGAAGTAACCTGTAGTGTAGACAGGGTCTCAGCTCTCCATATTTATTTATTTTTACAAATTTGCAAAAATACACTGAATGTTTCTAGAAAGTGCACTGGATTTGGTCACCATACCCCCTTCTTTACTGGAACTGGTTCTATGGCGCCTACATATAGAAGGGACATCCTATCTCAGCAAATGTTTGTGACAAGAATCCCTGAGGAGGGACCAGGAAAGAAAGGTGGGATGGCAAGATGGAGGAGAAATGGATGGAGTTACCCAATGTTATAATCTGTAATTTGTATAATTTGCTTCCATGCAGGTCAAAAATGGGAGAGATGATCACCAAAGGGAGGAAGATGGGTAGGTGTGGCGTTGCTGAAGATTCCCAAGATAGGTTCTTGACCTTCAGTCAGATAATCAAATTGACATTTTGATGATAATAAGGGTTGGGTGGTGGTAGTGGTTGCAGCAGGTGGTCTCTTCTTCTGATATCTGTCTTTTCTTAGGGTCTATAAAAGATGAAGAATTGGACCAGATGGATCTCCGTCCCCTTTGTGATCTACTACTCATTTGTAGGAGTTTATAGAGAGTGGCCCTTGAGTCCTTTAAGGTGTGCAAAATTCTTTGGTGGACTCACTGAAAAGTCTCAGTGTGAAAAGGAAGGTCTTCTATGATATTTAGACCTCCCTAAGACATGCTAATAGCTGCAGCCAAGATGCTTAATGCATGACAACAGTAGTAGAGATAGAACAAGATGCACTGCTGGCTGCATCCAGGGAGGTTTGCAGTGTGGTCCTCATTAAGAACTAACCCTCAGTTCTGATGGCCTGAAATTGTTCTTGATGATCTGGGGGCAGATGATCAATAAAAGTGTTTAATTTGCTGTAATTGGTCTGATCACACATCAGAGCCTAATAATTTGCTATTCTAAACTGCAGTGTCGAGGAAGAGTAGTTTTTAAGCCCAAAGAGGTCAAGATGCTTCTGATGTGATTGTATGGCATAGACTCAGTGTGGTGCTGTTTACCACGCTCATTAACAGCTTCCACACAACCAAAGAATTAGGAGAAGAATGTGAAAATAAAAACTCAGAATTCTTTGGAGAAATATAGTACTTTTAATCGGCTTGCTCAAGTCTACCAGATCATTTTGACAGGATCCAGTAGAATCTCAATTACTTGCATAGCTACTCAGTCAGAAGTTGTCATGTGAAGTATATCCAAGAGCTTATGTTGTGACTCTTGGTCCTTGTTCAATGGGATCTGAAGCAAGGCAGCAATCCATTTAGTTAGCTCCTAAAACTGTTTAAAATCTTTGGCATAAGAAAGTGGACAGCTATGTCTGGAGAAGATGAAGAGATACGAGTTTGTGGTGTTACATCCTTGTCCACTCTAGTCTCTTGCACTTCAAAAAGCTCCTCACGAAGTTGTGGTTGTTTAAGAGGGAGAGATGAATTGCCTTTCACAATATTCCCCACAGGAGTAGCTAGGACCCCTCAATATTGCTGATGGAAGGCTGCCCATGGGACCCAATATGGCCACTGAGGAGGACCTTAAGGTAGAGGGGGATGCATCCAATGCTGCTAATACGCAGGAGAAGGAGCATGAGATTCTCTTGCCCTTTGGGCTTTTTCTCAGATAAGGTGCCTGGAAAGATGTCTCTATGGTGGTAAGTAGGAGATCCCTGTACAGCGATATGGGAATTGTAGCAGGGTGGTCACCCACTCCTGCCTTAAAAGGCTTAAAACAGCCCAGGGAGAGGGCTGTGGCAGGGAAGGAAAAGCAGGGCTGATTGGGGAAAGCAACCTCAGCTGGGTGCCACGCCCCAATCAGGCCGAAGCTGGCTTAATAAGGGCCCAGCTGACCCTTATAAGAGGGCAGTGGGCCAGAAGCACACACAGTCTCTCTCTGTCTTCAGAGAGAGAAGGGCCTTGCTGCTGGGAAGCTCAGGGTGCCTAGCGTGAAGCACGGCTGGGGAAAGGCCAGAGGGGGTGAGGAGCTCCAGGCTGGTAACTCCCCAGGCTGCAGGGCCTTGTCCAAGGCCCCATAAAGGCACTGGGTTGCAGAGAGAGGCAGCAGGTCCAGACCCAACCTTGCCTATTATGAGTGGCTGACACTGCAGTCTGCCCCAGGGTGCAGGGGCGAGTTGGTGACAGGCAGTAGCCTACGACTGAGGTGAGGTGGGGATAGGGGGTGGGAGTTCCCCGGGGAGGGGAGACCCCAAGACTGAGGGGTGTACTGCCAGGGGCAGCACCCCAAAGACAAGGGGGCACCGGGTCCAGGAGGGACACGGGGGCCAAGCGGCAGCGGGACACCAGCCTGCAGAGGGCGCTCTGGAGGCTGGACGAGCTAATTCCCAGTGACAACCAGCAGGAGGCGCCACAGGGGTGAGTCCCACATTGCTACAGGAATCTAAAGAAGAGTCCGCAGTATAGTATAGAGGAGGAGCAGATCATTGTCTGCTTGATGGAATGGTATCAGAGAACCAGAGGGTACCAGAAAAAGGTAAGGCAAATCTCAATACTGGCTTCTGTTAGATACCCATTCATAGTGGAGTCTCTGGCTCATCAGACACTACAAGTCCTTGTAGAATCTGAACTTCTTGTGCGTGAATCTGCATCTGGATTAGACAGGGCTCCACAGTAACCAATGTCGATACTGAAGGTGTTGGTGGTAGTATCTGTCTAGCTGTACATGTCTAGCTGTGTAGAGGTATCAATGTTGCAGTCTGGGTCACCTGTTTAGGTATTAGAGGTGGTAAAGAAAAGTTTGATGATGTTACAGACTTCCTAGATGCAGCAGTGTTTAGAATCTCTGCTGTGCTCTTATCCTGCAAAGACCTAGGTACTAAGGTCAACGGAGCATGGTGATCACTCTGAGGCTGATGTCTTGGGGGGGGGGGGGGAAGGAGGATCTGAGCCTGTATCTGAGGCAGATCGGAGGAGGGAGCACTCCAACACAAGGAGCCAACGTTTAATATCCCACTTTTTACGAGATCTGCCTTTAAAAGCTGAACTGAATTTAGCTGGGATGTGGGTGTTTCCCAAACAATGGATACATAGAATGTCTGTTGCTGACCAGGACCGCTTCCCAGCAGATAAGGCAGTGCTTGAATCTCAGGGACACCAACATGCCAAGCTGATGATGCCCCCAAAAGCAAACCTTTCAGAACAGTGGGGAATTAAACAGAAACCCCCAAGTTATAACTAAAGTAGTACAATTATCAAAAGAACTAAATAAGCTAAACTAAGAGGTCGAGGCAAAGCTGAAGTGGGCATTTTAGATACTCTGTCTCAACTTGTGGGGTGGTTGAGAAGGAACTGAGGACGGTTTGCCTTTGCAGCTCTATGTATCCTTGGTAAAGGGCACATGAGCTTCTAACAGGCACTACTGAAAATCGCCAATCAAAGGCACATGTGTAACTGAAGTGGAACACCCGTAGGGACACTACTTGAAGAAGAAACATTCATTTAAACAAACAAATCAATTTCATTCCATTTTCCACAGAAAATAAACCTGAGATCAGCAACAGGCAATCTGAATTGCTAAAACCCACAAATCAAGATGAAAGAAAAGGCTCTGGGTGGGCAGATTTAAAAAGCTAAGTCTTTCTGTAATTCTCATAAGGCAAAACAGATGGGAAAAAGTTTCTTTCTAGAACATCATTTGCATACCACTTGATGAAACTGTGCATGATTAATGCTTGTAATTTACTTTGATGGATTCAATGTGTCATGTTCTGTTCCAAATATCTGTATATTTTAAAAATATAACCTGCATTGAAGCCTCTATAATTTGCCTTAATGCATGTGCTCAGACATGTAGTGAGCTGGAAGCAGGCTTTTCCATTACCAAGAATAGGTTTATTTTCTTTTGTTGTAATTTCAAAGAGCAATAAATAGCTAGAGCAAACCATAAATCATTCAACATAGAATTTTAACAAAGACCACTACTTATCAACACAATAGATGTACTTAAACTACATGGAAGGCAAAATTAAAATGTTGTTCTAAGTAGAACCTTAAACAACTATAGCTTCAAGACTCTATTTAGTAGATAAAGGTGGCTGTTCTTCTTCCCTAAGATGAGGAAATTACAACATGAGTTAAGAGATAAAAGGAGGAAATTAATTCTTTTGAACTATTATAGAGGCCATATTAATTATCCTTTTTTTGCGGAGAAAATAAATGAGAAATTTAATTGCCACAATGCATTATATAACAAAGCAACTAAAGTCATGGCACTGTCATTTCCTCTCCTTGTCAACACTTGGTGGTGGTTTTATTGCAAAAAAATAAGTCATCCCCATCCACTGTGAAGCAAAGCATTCTATGGGGGGAAAGTCAATATTTCTCTCTATTTATAAGACTATCGATAAGGTTTGTCAGTTTTATTTTCTGATATTTTATAGACAGAAGATCATTAACCACAGGCACATACTAAAGCAACAGGGAAACTTATAGCATAGCAGAAAAATGAACTATGATAAAACTATTAGACCCAAGAAAGAAATATGTAACATTGTAAGTATGTATGAAGTAGATATGATGTAAAAATAAAACATTCATTTTTAAAATTATTTAAAAATGGAGATATTGCCATTTCCTCTAAACAATTTTAAAATATCTAGTGTATTTATTTGCTGAACATAAATCATAAGCTTTGTAATTTATTAATTGTACCTTAAAGGAATACTTGCGGTTTATGCGATCTTCAGGTCCAACGGGAGATATTACATAACTAGGCAATGGTATGCTACCCAAAACAGTTTCTTCTCTGCTGTCTATTGAATGAAAGAAAAATCAAAATGATTCAGGGCACTTCTTCAACAGGTGTAAACAAACATATTCCCTAACATAGTGGTTCTCAACCAGGTATACGCATAACCCTGGGGATACGCAGAGGTCTTCCACAGCATACATCAACT